AATAGAACGTTCTTCCCCCATTGAATGTTCTTGGCACTATTCATAAAAATGAAGTGGCCATAGATCTGTAGGTTTCTTTCTGGATACTCAGTTATATTCCACTGGTCTATATGTCTATTCTTATGCTAGTTCCATACTGTTTTAATTCTGTGGCTTTATTGTAGGTTTTGAAATTGGGAAGTGTAAGGCTTCCAACTTTGTTCTTTTTCAGGATTGTTTTGGCTGTTTGGGGACCCTTGACATTGCATAGGATTTTGAGGCTCAGCTTTTCCATATCTTTTTAAAAAGGCCATTGGGATTTTCTTAGAGATGGCACTGAATCTGTAGATCAATAGGGGAGTATTGCCATTTTAACATTAGTAAGTCTTCTAATCATAAACATGGGAAGGCTTCCATTTGTTTAGGTCTCCTTTACTTTTTTTCTACAATATTTGTATAATTTTCAGAATACAAATCTTGCATCTCCTTTCTTAATTTCTAAAGTTTTATTGTTTTAGTTGCTATAACAACTAAATGAAAATACATTATAAAACAGTATAAACTAAAATACTCAATTTCTTTTTCAGTTTCTTCATTGTAGGTGTGTAGAAACATGACTGTTCTTTTTGTGTTAATCGTATGCCCCCTAACTTGGCTGAACTGGTTTATTGCCTCTAGTAGCTTTCTTGTACGTTCTTTGGACTTTTTTATGTGTAGAATCATTCATCAGCAAATGGAGATATTTTGCTTCTTCCTTTCCAATTTGTATGCCTTTTATTCCTTTTTCTTGCTTAATTGCTCTGGATAGAAGTTCCAATGAAGTGGTGAAAGTGGACATCTTTCTTTTGTTTTTGATCTTAGGGGCAAAGCTCTCATTTTTTTATCCTTAAGTATGATGTTAGCTGTGGGTTGTTCAAAAATGCCCTTATCATGTTGAGGAAGTTCTCTTCAATTCCTAGATGGTTGAATATATTTATCATGGTAGTGTATTGGGGTTTTGTCAAATTATTTTTTTCTATTAATTCATAAGATCATGTGATATTTTTCCTTCATTCTCTTAATGTGATTCATTGCATTGGTTGATTTTATTTTTAAGGAATAATTGACATATAAGAAGTTGTACATGCTGAATAGCCACAACTTGACAAGTTTGGAGATATTTATACAGCTATGAAACCATCACCACTATCTATGCCATAAATATGCCCATCATCTCCAAAAGTTTCTTCCAGTCCTCTTTATTTATTATTATTGTGTGTGATAAGAATACTTAAAGTAAAATCTACCCTCTTAGCAAAATTTAAATATATAATATCGTATTGTTCACTATAGGAACTATGCTGTTCAGTAGATCTCTAGAGTTTATTCATCTTGTATAACTGAAACTTTGTACCCTGTGACTATTACCTCTCCATTTCCTCCTCCCCTTAGCCTCTGGAAGCCACTATTCCACTCACTGCTTCTGTGAGTTTGACTGTTTTAGATTCCTCATATAAGTGGCATCATGTAGTATTATCCTTCTGTATCTGGCTAATTTCACTTAGTTCCAGGTTCATCCTGTTGCAAACAGCAGGATTTCTTTTTTTAAGCGCCAAATAATATTCTATTGTATGTATATACGTTTTCTTTGTACATTCATTCACTAGCACATCTAGACTGCTTCCATGACTTGGCTACTATGAATAAAACTGCAGTGATAATGGTAGTGCAGAGATTTCTTTGGGATCCTGATTTCAATTCCTTTGGACATGTACCCAGAAGTGGGATCATGTACCAGATCTATTTTTAATTTTTTGAGAAACCTCCACACTTTCCCCTACTGGCTGCACCAATTTACATTCCCATCAGCAGTATCCAATGGCTCCCTTTTCTCCACATCCTTGCCAACATTTACCTTTTGTTTTGTTTTTAATAATAGCCATCCTAGCAGGTGTGAGGTAATATCTCTTTGCAATTCTGATTTGCACTTCCACTATGATTAGTGATGTAGAGCACCTTTCATGTACCTGTTGGTCATTTCTATGTCTCCTTGGAGAAATGTTTTTTCAAGTCCTTAGCTCAGTTTTTAATTGGATTATTTGGGGGGTTTTTTTGTTGTTTTGTTTTGTTTTGTTTTGTTTTTACTCTTGTGTTGTATGAGTTCCTTATTTTGGCTATTAACCCAGTATCAGATGTATCATTTATAAATATTTTCTTCCATTCAATAGGTTGCTTTTACATTTTGTTGATTTTCCTTTCTTTGCTGTGCAGTAGCTTTTTGATTTGACGTAATCCCACTTGTTTTTGTTTCCCTCCTGCTTATGTATTTTTGCTTTTGGTGCCTATGCTCTTTGTTTCATTTCCAAGAAATCATTGCCAAGGCCAATGTCAAGAAGATTTCTTCTGTTTTCTTCTAGGGATTTTAATTTTAGGTCTTATGTTTAAGTCTTTAACACATTTTTCGTTGATTTTAATATATGGTGTGAGATAAGTGTCCAATTTTATTTTTTTGCATGTGGATATCCAGCTTTCCCAGAACCACTTATTGAAGAGACTATCCTTTCCCCACTGTGTAAATACAGTGGTACCCATGTGGAAGATCAGTTGACCATATATGTTTGTGTTTATTCTGCGCTGTCTTTTCCGTTCCATTGGTCTATAGGTCTGTATTTATGCCAGCATCATTCTGTTTTGATTACTGTTGCTTTGTAATATATTTTGAAGTCAAGAAGAATCATGCCTCTCTCTATTTCCTGCTTGTTCAAAATTGCTTTGTTGTGATGATCACTGGGTGTTATATGTAAGTGATGAATCATTAAATTCTACTCCTGAAACTAATATTACACTCTGTGTTAACTAACAAGAATTTAAATAAAAACTTGAAACGAAGAAAAAATAAAGAAAATTGCTTTGGTTGTTTGGAGTCCTTTGTGATTCCATATGAATTTTAAGATTATTCTATTTTTTATAAAATAATGCCATTGTTTTTCTTAATGGAAATTACATTGAATCTGTAGATTCCTTTGTATATTATGGACATTTTAACAATATTAATTCCCCCAGTCCATGAACATGGAATGTCTTTCCACTTACTTGTGTCTGTGTTAAGTATTTTATAGTTTTCCATGTACAAGTATTTCACCTCCTTGGGCAAGTTTATTCCTAAATATTTTATTTTTTGATGCTATTGTAAATGTAATTTCCTTCTCATATAGTTCATTTTTAGTGTAGAGAAATGTAACTGATTTTATGAGAAATGTATATTGATTTTGTATCCTGCAACATTGCTGGATTTGTTTGTTAGTTTTAAAGGGTTTTTATTTTTTGAGGCTATAGGGTTTTCTACATATAAGAGCGTGTTATCTGCAAAGACAATTTTATGTCTTCCTTTCCAAATTGAATAACTTGTTTCTTTTTCTTGCCTAATTGCTCTGGCTAGGACATCCAGTACTATGTTGAATAGGAGTAGTGAGAGTGGACGCTCTTATCTTGTTTCTGATTTTAGAGGAAAAACTTTCAGTGTTTTGCCATTAGGTGTGATATCAGCTGTGGGGTTTTTCTATATGCCCTTTATTGTGATGAAGTAAGCTGCTTCTGCAACTAATTTTTTTCTATCATGAAAAGATGTTGAATTTTATCAAATGCTTTTTCTGCCTCTGTTGCGATGATCATGTGATTTTTTTCCCCTTCATTCTCTTAATTTAGTATATCATGTTAATTAATTTGTGAATATACTAAACATTCTTGCATCTTTGAGATAAATCCCATTTGGTTAAGGTGTCTGATCCATTTAATGTGCTGTTGAATTAAGTTTGCTAATATTTTGTTGAGAATTTTTGCATCTGTTCACCAGGAATACCATCCTGTAGTTTTCATCTCTTATGATATCTTTGTGTGGTTTTGGTATCATGGTGATTCTGGCCTCACAAAATAAGTGGGGAAGTATTCCCTCTTCCTATATTTTGTAAGAATTTATGTTAATTCTTCTTTAAATGTTTGGTAGAATTCACCTCTGAAGCCATCTTATCCTAGGCATTTTTTTAAAATTTTATTTTATTATGTTATGTTAGTCACCATACACAATACATCTAGTTTTTGATGTAGTGATCCATGCTTCATTGTTTTCATATAATGGAAGTTCTTTGATTACTGATTCAGTCTCTTTATTATTGTTCTCTTGATACTTTCTATTTCTCCTTGATTCAGTCTTGGTACTTGTATGTTTCTAGTAATTTATCTGTTTATCCTAGGTTGTCTAATTTGTTGGTATATAATTATTCAAAATAGTCCCTTATGATCTTTTTTATTTCCATGGCATTAGTTTTCATGTCTCCTATTTATTTTTGTACTTGAGTATTATCTTTTTTCTTAGTCTAAGTAAGAGTTTATTGATTTTGTTTGTATTTTCAAAAATCCAACTTTATTTTTGTCAATTTCTCCTAATATCCTATTATTTATATCCTTTTTCTGCTCTAATTTTTTATTTCCTTCCAACTAACTTTGGAATTAATTTGTTCTTTTTCTAGTTTCTTGAAGTGTATTGTTAGTTTATTTGAGAGCCTTCCTTTTATTAGTGTAAACATTTATCACCATAAACTTTCCTCTTTGTATCATATATATTTGTTTCTTTATTGTTGCTGCATCCCATAACTTTTGGTATGTTGTGTTTTAGTTTGCACTTGTCTCAAAATATTTTCTCATTTTTCTTTTGGTTTCTTATTCGACCCAGTGGTTCCAATGGTTGTTCAACAGTGTGTTGTTTAACTTGCATGTATTTGTAAAATTTTTTTTGTAATTTTCCTTTTGTTATTGATTCCTACTTTCATTCCATTGTAGGTTAGAAAAAAAATCTCAGAATGATTTCATTTTTCTTAAGCTATTTAACACTTTTTCATTGACCTAGTTTGTGATTTTTCCTGGATAACGCTGCATGTGTAATTGAGAAGAATATGTATTCTGCTGCTGTTAGGTGGAATGTTCTGTATATGTCTTTTAGGCTCATAGAATCCATAATGTTCTTCACATCATCTGTTTCCTTTCAGACTATCACTCTGGATGATCTAACCATTATGGTAAGTGGGGTGTCAAAGTCTCCTAATATTATATTGCTATTTCTTCCTTCAGATCTGTAAATGATTCCTTTATATATTAATGTGTTCTGATGATGTGTGCATATATATATATATGTGTATATATATATATATATATTTATCATTATTTTATTTTTCCCATTGAATTCATCCTTTTATCATTATCTAATGACCTTTGTCTCTTGTGACAGTTTTGACTAAAATCTGTTTTGTCTGATGTAAGTATAGCTACATGTGTCCTCTTTTGGTTGCCATTTGCATATAATATTTATTTAATCCTAAACTTCAATCTATATGTGCTCTTAAACCTAAAGTGTGACCCTTCTAGAAAATATATAGTGTGGTCTTGTTTATGTATTCAGCATCTCTCCACTTTATGATTGGTGAACAAGTTCCATTTATATTTAAAGCAATTATTTTTTATTTTTAATTTTAATTTCAGCATACTTAACATACAATGTTCTATTAGTTTCAAGTGTATAATATAGTGATACAACAATTCTATATAATACTCAGTGCTCATCATGATAAGTATACTCTTTAATCCCCACCACCCCTTTCACCCATCCCCCCAAACACCTACTCTCTGGTAACCATCAGTTTGTTCTCTATAGTTAAGAGTCTCTTGACAAATACTAGATGATTGGTTTGTCTCTCTATCTCTCTTTTCCTTTCCTCATTTGTTTCTTAAATTCCACGTATGAGTTAAATCATATGGTATTGTCTTTCTCTGACTTATTTTGCTTAGCATTATATTCTCTAGCTCCGTCCATGTTGTTGCAAATGGCAAGATTTCATTCTTTTTATGGCTGAGTAATATTCCATTGTGTGTGTGTGTGTGTGTATATATATATATATTTTTTTCTTCTTTATTCATTCATCTGTTGATGGACACTCAGGCTGCTTCCATAATTTGGTTATTGTAAATAATGAAATAAACATAGGGGTACATATATCACTTTGAATGTTTCTGTATTTTGGGGGTAATTACTTAGTAGTGTGATTAATGGATCATAGGGTAGTTCTATTTTTAACTTTTTGAGGAACCTCCAACTGTTTTTCAGAATGGCTGCACCAGTTTGCATTCCCATGAACAACGCACAGGGGTTCCTTTTTCTCCACATCCTTGTCAAAACTGGCTGTTTCTTTTGTTTTTTATTTTAGCCATTATGAATGGTGTGAGATGATATCTCATTGTAATTTTGATTTGCATCACCCTGATGATCAGTGATGTTGATCATCTTTTCATGTGACTGCTGGCCATCTTAATGTCTTCTTTGGAGAAATGTCTGTTCATGTATTCTGCCCATTTTTAATCAGATTATTTTTGGAGGGGGTGTTCAGTACCATTATCAAATATGTCATTTGCATATATATTCTCCCATTCAGTAGGGCGCCTTTTAGTTTATTGTTTCCTTTGCTATGCAGAAGCTTTTTATTTTGATGTAGTCCTAATAGTTTCTTTTTGCTTCTGTTTCCCTTGCCTCAGGAGACCTATCTAGAAAAAAGTTGTTACAGCCAATGTCAGAGAAGTTACTACCTGGGTTTTCTTCTAGGATTTTTATGTTTTCAGGTCTTACATTTAGGTCTTTAATCAATTTTGAATTTATTTTTATGTATGATGTAAAAAAAAAAGTGGTCTGGGTTTATTCTTTTCATGTAGCTGTCCAGTTTTCCCAACACCATTTGTTGAAGAGACTTTCCCACTGGATATTCTTGCTTCCTTTGTGGAAGATTAACCATATAATTCTGGCTTTATTTCTGAGTTTTCTCTTCTGTTCTGTTGATCTATGTGTCTATTTTTGTGCCACTCCCATACTGTTCTAATTACTACAGCTTTGTAATATAACTTGAAGTCAAGAATTGTGATGCCGCTAGCTTTGCTTTTCCTTTTCCAGGTTGCTTTGGCTATTTGGGGTCTTTTGTGGTTCCATACAATTTTTAGAATTGGTTGTTCCAGCTCTGAGAAAAATGCTGTTGGTATATTGATAGGGATTTCAATAAATGTGTATATTGCTTTGGGTATTATAGACATTATAACAATATTTGTTCTGCCAATCCATGAGCATGGAATGTCTTTCCATTTCTTTTGTGCTATCTTTAATTTCTTTCATTAATGTTTTATAATTTTCAGAGTACAGGTCTTTCACGTCTTTGGTTAAGTTTATTCCTAGGTATCTTATTATTTTTAGGACAATTGTAAATGGAATTGTTTTCTCGATTTCTCTTTCTGCTGCTTCATTATTGGTGTATAGAAATGCTACAGATTTCTGCTACTGATTTTGTATCCTACAACTGTACTGGATTCATTTATCAGTTCCAGTAGTTTTCTGGTGGAATATTTTGGGTATAATATCATGTCATCTGCAAATAGTGAAAATTTTACTTCTTCCATACCAATTTGGATGCATTTTATTTCTTTCTTTTTTTTTTTTTTTTTTGTCTGATTGCTGTGGTTAGGACTTCCAGTATAAAAGTGGCGAGAGTGGACACCCTTGTCTCCTTCCTGTCCATAGGGAAAAAGCTATCAGTTTTTCTCCATTAAGTATGATGTTCACTGTGGGTTTTTCATATATGGTCTATATATGGTTTATATTATGTTGAGGTGTGTTCCCTCTAAACCTACTTTGTTGAGGGCTTTTATCATGAATGGATGTTGTATTTAGTTAAATGCATTTTCTGCATCTATTGAAATGATCATATAGTTTTTATCCTTTTTCTTATTGATGTGATGTATCAGTTGATCAATTTGCAAATATTGAACCAACCTTACATACAGGGAATAAATCCCACTTGATCATTGTGAAAGATTTTTTAATGTATTGTTGGATTTCGTTTGCTGTGTTTTGTTGACAATTTTTGCATCTATGTTCATCAGTGATACTGGCCTATAGTTCTCTTATTTGTGTGTCTTTATCTGGTTTTGGTATCATAATGCTGCCCTCATAGAAGGAATTTGGAAGTTTTCCTTTCTCTTTTATTTTTCGGAATAGTTTGAGAAGAATAGGTATTAACTCTTCTTTAAATGTTTGCTGGAATTCACCCGTGAAGCCATCTGGTCCTTGACTTTTCACTGTTGGCAGTTTTTTGTGTGTGTGTGTGGTTTTTTTTTTTTAATTACTGATTCAATATCCTTGCTAGTATTTAGTCTGTTCAAATTTTCAATTTCTTCCTCCTTCAGGTTTGGTAGGTTATATGTTTCTACGAATTTACCCATTTCTTCTACGTTGCCTAACTTATTGGCTATAGTTTTTTATAACATTCTCTTGTAATTGTTTTTATGTCTGTGGTGTTGGTTGTTATTTCTACTCTTTGTGACTTTTTTTTTAAGATTTTATTTATTTATTTGACAGAGAGAGACACAGCGAGAGAGGGAACACAAGCAGGGGTAGTGGGAGAGGGAGAAGCAGGCTTCCCGTGGAGCAGAGAGCCCGATATGGGGCTCGATCCCAGGACCCTGGGATCATGACCTGAGCCAAAGGCAGACGCTTAATGACTGAGCCACCCAGGCGCCCATCTTTGTGACTTTTTTTTAATTTGAGTGCTTTCTCTTTCTCTGTCTCTCTTTTGATGAGTTTGACTTAGAGGTTTATCAATTTTGTTGATCTTTTTATAGAACCAACTCCTGGTTTAATTGATATTGTCTATTGTTTTTGGTTGTTTGTTTAGTTTCTACATCATTTATTTCTGCTGTGATCTTTATTATTTCCTTCCTTCTGCTGGTTTTGGGTTTTGTTAATGTGTTTTTTTTTTTTTCTACCTCCCTTCTGTGTAAATTTAGGTTGTTCATTTGAGATTTTTCTTGCTTCTTGAGGTAGGTCTATATTGCTATAAACTTTCCTCTTAGATCTACTTCTGCTGCATCCCAAAGATTTTGGATCATTGTGTTTTCATTGTGTCATCATTGTCTCCTTTTTTATTTCTTCTTTGATTTCTTGGTTGACCGATTCATTGTTTAGTAGCATGTTATTTAACCTCCATGTGTTTGTGTTCTTCCAGATTTTTTATTGTGATTGATTCTAGTTTCATAGCACTGTGGTCAGAAATGATGCCTGGTATGACTTTGATCTTTTTGAATTTCTTGAGACTTGATTTGTGGCCTAATATGTGATCTGTTCTGGAGAATGTTCCATATGCACCTGAAAAGAATTGGTATTCTGCTGTTTTAGGATGGAATGTTCTGAATATATCTGTAAAACCCATCTGGCTCATTGTGTCATGCAAAGCTACTGTTTCCTTGTTGATTTTCTGTTTGCATGATCTTTCCATTGAAGGGCGTGTGGTGTTAAAGTCTTCTATTATTTTTCTTATTCATTAGTTCCTTTATCTTTGTTATTAACTGTTTCATGTATGTGGGTGCTCTTGTGTTGGGTGCATAAATATTTCCAGTTGTTATATCTTCTTTCTGGGTTGTCCCCCTTTATTGTTTTATAGTGTCCTTTTCATCCCTTGTTACAGTCTGTGCTAAAGTCTGTGCTGTCCAATATAAGTATTGCTACCCTGGCTTTACTGGACATCCTTTTGCATGATAAATGTTTTTCCATCCACTCACTTTCAATCTGCAGATGTCCTTAGGTCTGAATTGAGTCTCTTGAAGGCAACATATAAATGCATCTTGGCTTTTGTTTTTGTTTGGTTCTTTTTTTAACTGTTTCTTTAAATTCACTTTTATTAACTTACACTGTATTATTAGTTTCAGAGGTAAAATTTAATAATTCATCAGTTACATACAAAACCCAGTGCCCATTGCTTCAAGTTTCCTCCTTAATGCCCATCACCCAATTGCCCCATCCCTCGTGAACCTGCCCTCCAGCAACCCTCAGTATTTTTCCTGGAGTTAAGTCTCCCTGTGATTTGCCTCCCTGTCTGTTTTCATCTTATTTTCTTTTTCCTTCCCTTCCGCTGTGTTCATCTGTGTTGTTTCTTAAATTCCACGTATGAGTGAAATTATATGGTATTTGTCTTTCTCTGACTGACTTATT